ATGGTCGGTATGCATGAGTTGATGGTTTAAACACGTTATGGTTAGTTGTTAGAAACTTTTTCGGTGGTCTGATGATTGATTTTTTCAATGGGCTGAAGAAAATTGTACATAGTATTTGTTTTTTTTCTTTGATGGCAACCGAGTCTGCAATACAGCCAGTGTCAAACGGTGACGGCTAATTAATGATGTTGTAAGTAAAAAGGTTTATATGTCATAAAGCGCTAAGAAAGTGGGATTGTAAAATATGGACTATTGGCCACATTTTTCGGTGACTTAGTAGACTTGCGGTGCGTCTTAACGTATTTATGAGTGTATTTTTTAACCGACTTCAAAAAAAGGAGGAGGTTCTCAATTCGACCGTATATATGTTTTTTTTTATGTTTGTTCGCCGATATCTCCGTTGTTTATGAACCGATTTTGAAAATTCTTTTTTTGTTAGAAAGAAGTTAGTTCCAAAATGGTCCCATGATAAGGAAATCAGGATCTAAGAAAGAAAGAAAGAAGAAAGAAAGACTTTAGATCTGATGATGGAAGACCAGGGAAACCGAGGGGAACTTTTTTAATAGAGAATATTGTTGAGGTAACCTTTTTTTTTGTTGACGGAGGGAAACCTTTCTGGGGAATAAAGACTAGGGAGTGTGGGATTTTTACCTCACTAAAACCTCCCCGGTGGCCATCATCCGCACCTGAAGGAGTCACCGGATCCTCTTAGTAGACCAGCCCCGGAGCCCCTACGGTGCAACGCTTGTTACGGCACCTCCCTATGGAGACCGATGTGTCTACTTAGAGCCTCTCTGTATAATACACGGTAGCATGTGACCACTGTACCGCCATCATCTTTGAGGTTATTACCTAAACATTTTTACTTATAGCATCATTGGTGCCAGCAAATATTTTGGCGGTTGGTTGTAAACAAATGATTATATATAAATAATTTGCAAATAAATAATCTTTGTCTTTGTCTTTGTCTTTATAGTAAACTTAACTAAATTACGACTTTTAATTTTCAAGAACATAATACTACCAATTTCAGTAGAAATAGTTACAAAATAATGGTCCCTTAAAAACTATAAGGACATGAAATTCGAGACCTTATGCTGTAACATTTTGACCTAACAACCCACAGACTTCATAAAAACGATGAAACAAACATTTAAACTGTGTCTAATTCTCTATTGCCTTTATTTTCAGGATTAGGTTACAATACAATAAGTAGCGAATATTAAACTTAATGACTAAGTTTACGACTGGTAACTTTATAATGTAATTGTAGAAAACATGACATTACTTTGGTACTTCAGTTTATTTTGTCCACATGATTAGTAAGTTATAAATTTTCTGTTTATATGTTTGTTCTGCGTAAACTGTGAAAAATTAGAATTTCTCTATTCAATATCAATGTTGGTCATTGACCCTCTCCCCCCTCTTTTTTAAATATTAAAACCTTCTCCAAATATAAGTGTAACAAACACTTTTGGGAAAACCTAATTTAAATGAGCCAATTACGAGATAATCACACGCTAACATACATACATACATAAATACAAGTTCTTTTTGAAGTCTGTTAAAAATACACTGCTACTAAATGTACCTTTACCTACACTTTAAGGTTAAAAATATGCGACATTGCGACGTAGCATCTATAATGAATCATATCTCGAAAATACATCAAAAGAAGAACATTACAAAATGATCTTATTATTACCTAAATGCGTAATTAACGCGAGCATTAATCCCTATTGTATTCTAGTTACTCAATTCAGATAATGGATAATGGACCTTAACCTACATCAAGATAAGAGATAGTTTCTACTGTCACATTAATCTTCTGTGAAGTATAATAGTAGTCTTCAATGCATTGTATCAGAATCATCAGGTTTTGGTGAGACACACAGGAAGAAAGACTGGTTAGCATTGGCTATGACGTTTATGGCGAAAATAAAATATGGAGACAGATATCTAAATGATATCCATAAAAGACATTGGTACTAACTTTTGTTTAGACTCAGAACAGTTTCAACTACACTTTTGTTATCTCTGTCATCAAAATCGGTTCATCTGTTTAGGAGCAACACCAAAAAAATCTCAAAAAAACATAGTTTAACAAAAAATCGCGGGTGAGTACGTGAATATTAGAATAAAAGCTCTACTAGTTTCAAGCCGCAGAGGAGCTGTCGGTGATGTAGGTTACGCGATCGCGCACACTGCCCATGAGGAAGAGCCCCTGTGTGGCTCGAACCTAGTAGAGCTTTTCTCAGTATTTTCACATGAATAACTCGCGACTTTTTTTTTCATAATCATTAAATATTTATTACGTAAAGATATATTACGTACTTTTAGTTAATATAGTATGTCTCACGATAGTTATTATAAAAACATAGTTTGGACACACAATCACAGTCCAGAGCCACACACTGACAAGTACGAACAAAAAAAAGTAAAAACACTGAAACAAATGGCTACTAATCATCTAAGATTTCATTACGTAAAGCGGCACGTGCCGAGTACACCGGTCTTGACACGGATATGTCAGAAGACGGCAGAACATCCATTTTTTCAACAGCTAACCACGTAATGATGCTCTCAAATAATTTGTACCTTCATACCTTTGTTACCGTATTATACGGGATGTAGCCAATTGTATATATCTTATACATGTTGTATTTGAATAAAAGGGTGATTGAATTCGAAAAATTTAAATACACTTTAGTTAGCTTATCAACTTCCCCATTCCATATAAGTTACTTTGATCAAAGCGCAAATGACGTCTCACACTATCAATGACGCATTGGTTACCCACTATGGCATTGAAGGCTGAAATATCCTGCAACAGTAACCTATTTGTATAAAAGTAGAATTAATTCACTTAATATCCCCTAGTAGACGTTTAGTTTAAAATATAACTTTATATATTTTGACAACCTGTATAAGAGGTACTCATTCATTGATGATGATCAAAGCAGGTAACTTATATGTCTTGTTAGGCAACCGTATCATTGTTGAGAAATATAGTATGTTCTTATTCGCCGTCATAGTGTTTTGACTTTAGATATATTGGGGGTAATTATTGTAATATTTCTTTTTTGTGAAATAGAATTTTCTTTGTAATAAAAATGAAGACGTGAGTTTGTTAAATGAGATTTATAGTAAGTAGTGTGTTTCATAGATCTGCTATAAGAGCTCGATCAGAAGTTTGTTTAATTGGGTCACCTGTTTTCTGGATTTAACAATTTGAATATATTGTCATTCGTTTTGTGTTATAAGACCATTAATTAAACCCTGCAACAATGTTGCTGCGCAATTAATGATCTACTGGTAAATAAGAGTTAGGTCAATATTAAATTTCAGAATATCAGGTTCACTTGCTCAAGTACCTCCCTATTAAATTCACAAACTGAAATATTACGAGGCGTCTTCAATGTCAATGTATTGTGAACTTGCTTTATGATAATGATTTGTTTCTACAAAAGGGATTTAGCACCTACGTTAATAATACTCACCAAGTTACATCCGTATACGATACTTAACAACGCTACAAATGAAAGCCACAGAGAAAAGTTAGTACTTAATATTTCAACCAAATGACATGAAAATTAATAATTGAAAACCGTTTAACTATAAATACAGAGTTCTTGTGCAAGCTACAAAACGACCGAACTATTAACTTTTAGTAATACCAGAGTTAAAATGTTGCCTCCCACCACACGTAACATATAATTATACCCCAGTTACTCGCATACATAAAACCTAAACCTAAAATTTACATAAGTATTTAAGCGTCCATTAACATTTACTAGCTCCAACGTTACAAGTCTAATTTTTCATTAACCGAAGGTTTAAATCATTACCAACTAGTTGGGCACAACTATGTGCACCTAATACTTAGGTACAGCGGTCTGCAATAAACCCGGCACCCGGAGGAGCGCACGCGCATCGTAAAGCGCGCTACTAATCGATTCTATGCCTATAAAGAAATTATTTTCCGCTTACGCGAATAAAATACGTCTCTGCACTATATAATTTCATCTGTGTAAAGTGGTTTTATGAATATTTAGTTATTTCTTGGATTTGCCAGTCATTGCGGTGTTGCTGGTCTAGACTTCCCTTTTAGAAACTAAGCTAGGCACGTAGGTAGGTACGTACTTGATCTGTAACATATAATGAGTGTTTGATCTTACAATTTCGACTTACTATTATGACGATTATACAAGAAACGGTTTTCTCGTAAACAGTTATTATATCACAGTTTAAAATACACATTAAATAAAACAAACAATTTACAAGCAGGATGAGTGAAACTTACAAATAACAAAGACTCGTTACAAATATTGCAATACAAATAATTTACGACCTCATAAACACGATCGTTAACTTAAAAATTACGATGTTCCACTTTAAAAGTATAATATCACGTAATCTTGTTCAAGTATCGCTAATAATTTATATTATCTGTGTAAAAGTGAGCCGCAACACCCACTTTATTTCAGCTTTAAAGCGGGAATCGTGAATCATTCTATGTAGCGATGTAGCGACAATACAGGGCTCGCGAACATTTGGCAACGGTTCAAAGATCACGCGATTAAAACTCAATAGACTTCTATATCGATCGGTAGGGCTGTCACGATGCGACTAATTTGAAACTGATTTTGTAATACAATGAAATAATTGCGTCTTTTTGTCGCAACAGTATTTGGGGACGTCTGAATTGCGCAACCGAGCAGATGTCGATGAAATTAACTTATTGCGACTAAGCCTTATTATTTGTTAACAACCGTTATTATTTGTTGAGTCAATCACAGTCATTACTCGCGAACTAGCCGCTTTATTTGTCATCAAGACCTATACATTTTTTATTGGCAATTATTAGCCTGATTTCGTTCGTCTTCTCTATATGTAAGATAACGTGTAATTTGGTTATGTTTGCTCTTATTACATCGTTTCCTACAAACTTGTACATGGTCATATGATTTGATTTTATAACGTTTGTTTATTTGTTACAGTGTACCATTACCGCCGCCAAGCTGACTACCGCAAATGAGATTATACCCAGTTACCACGTCAAAGCGCTAATAGGTAAGTCATTTCGGCAATAATTCATACGAAAACACATCCTTAAAGACCAATATAATATAATATTAGTACCACATTAATCACCCAAACAAAACCACAACAAACGAAAGCAAATCTTAACCCAGCACCGCGGCATAAAGCGCAAACTAAATAAATTAATGTTAAAACTATAACGTACCCCGACATATATAAAGGGCGATGGGCAAACTTTATAATGGTAGCCAGGGCTTATTAGAATAAACGTGGCGGGCCGCAGGGCTCCTACACGGTCTGACCTCAGGCCTGCGATTAGTCGACTACTAGTGGAGCACCTTCTTGTAATACCTCGTAACATGTTGCACTAAAAGCGTCTCTAAAGAATTACTGAATACGCCACGGACTTTTTAGGGTTATAATTTTGAAAATGAGTATATAAAACGATGTAACAGTACAGATTTTATTCGTGAGTTACGAGGTTGTCAGTGCTTCTGCAGAGCATGATGGTTCCGGTTCAATGTTCCGTTTATTTCAATATTATCCAACATATTTTACTAACTTGACATTAACTACATTTTAAAATTAATATTACTATATGTTGTTTTAACTTAATGTTACGAATGAAAGCACTAGGCAATTTCTTAAATTGAAAACTTGCTTATTTCTACCTTTTTTGAGATAACCTATATTACTCGTACCAAGATTAAAAATTCACACCTTTCTAAGTACATTTACAAAGAATTATATTAAAAAACACATTAATACCTAAGTGAAGGATATAGTTAAGTCAATCCAAGTAAGTATTTGAAGCCATTATAGGCAATATAGACTTTCTCTATAATCCAAGCACTAAAATATACAGCCAAAGTAAGTAGCTATCAAAATAATTTCCAAACTTTTTACGTTTAACACGAATAATGGACATTTTATAAACTTTCTACAATTTAGAGTACCCACATAATATGTTAGAGAGCAATTTTATTGATTCTAAAAATCAATAAGGAAAAAGTTACGTAAAACAACATCGTAAATTAACTGTGTGTTCGATTTGAAAATGGAACCTTTTTTTATGACAGCTTAAACCTTTAAAAGGCGCCAAGCTTTTTAGGGAGAAAGACTAGGGATTGTGGCTTTCTTACCTCACTAAAACTACTCCAGTAGCCACCTTTTTCAATTATAGTGGTCACCCGCGGATCCTCTAATAAACCTGCTCCGGAGCCCCACGGTGCAACGTCTGTTACGGCACATCCCTAGAGGGAGAATCGAACTTAGAGCTCTAGGTGTGGCAAGTGTTCTCTATAGATGAAGAAGGTGGCCACCGGGTCCTCTTATTAACTTGCACCGGAGCCCCCACGGTGCAACGCCTGTTACGGCAGAGGGAGATTCGAACTTAGAGCTCTAGGTATAGTAAGTTAATCTCTTTACTGCTAGACAAGTTTCTTCTCTTCTTTTTACTGCTAGATAAAACCGTGTACCAAAAAATCCATAACTACAGCATCAAAACTAATTCTGCTAAGGGAAAATGATCTTAATTATGGCAGCACGTCTACATTAAAACGGCTTTTTTCGCTTCTTTAGGAAAAACGTGATTGAAATCTGTGAAGACGTTTACAAGATAAACAGTTGGCATCTGTCTTCCACTACACTGCACATACACACAGTACTCGCTACATTGTGAAACGTACTTGTTCTTACGATTTAATTTTATATGGATTATGCAGTAGATTAAATGCGTTTTATTCGTCTTGAAGATTGATCGACGAATGTGAAAATCAATTCTATTACCTATTGCTAAAACATGACTGTGTGTTTATGTTTTGTTTTCACCATATAATCTGTTTCTTTCTCTCTCATTTTAATAAGGTTTCTTCCATTATTGTAGGTGCCAGTAAAAAGCAGTTAATGTATGAAATTTCATTTCTTAAGAAGAGGCCTTCAATCAGTGGTCGGAAAGTGTAGTGTAATAGGTTGACGAATATTAACTTAGTTCTAGGGTACGTAGTACTTTTAGGTTCATACTTCGTCAATCTTCTCAAGATAACCTCAACGATAAAAATTTCAAGTTCGCAAATTACACGTAAGTAGGTACTACATGCTAAATTAGGTATTAAGTGTAAGCACATTCAGTTTCTTTTTCTATATCGCATCCAGTACAAGAGAACAGTGTGACACTACATCGGGGACTGCATGCATCTGCACGCATTACATGCACCGATATAATCGCGGCAAACGACCGCCGCGGAGAAATTTTCCTAGGAGCGCCGTTTTCCATCTTAAATCTGAATAAATTAGAGTCATTTGCATCATGTACAATGTTTTATGTCTCGTAAAAGTGGACTGTCAAGCGTGGTTTCAATTCTCTTATCTAAACTGTTTTTTTTTGTTTCTCAAAAGAGGTCTAGAAATCTATCTGCATAAAATGTTTTACTTTTAATCGCATCTGACTACTAGTCCAACATGTAATCATATTTTACGATTTAATTCTAGTTATTATTGTTTTACTTTCAAGGGAAATGGTCGACGAACGGCAACCGGAACCTTGTACCTGTGGTAGTACTTCCTCAGACAGTTCTTGATATTAAATTTTGATTCATTTCTACATAATTTTATAAAAATAAGTACAACCTTTACTAAAAACAAGATAGTTTACTAAAAATTGTATTTCAAAGGTTGAGAAACGAGCTTAAAGAATGAAATTAATTTTAATAATAAAACTAATCAGAAATTTTGGACTACCTAAAACTAACGAATTGTGATGAAATTTGGTATACAGGCAGGGTATGGGCTGACTTAGGTGATAGGTAGATAGATAAAATAGGTATCATATTCTACGCAGACGATATCGCAGGCAATAGCTGGTCTATAGCTAGTATTATAAATCCTTATTGTTGGTATAAATAAAGGAAATCAGACGGGTAAAAAAATCTAACAGTAAATGAGCATCGCAACTTTAATGACATTAATGTAAACGCCAGACATACGTAGATACTGTTCTTCTGCCCACCGCCTTCATGAAAAATAACCATCACCATCACCTCTAGTGACCCACTATAATAGAAGACGAGGTATCTAGTACAAGGAGTTCTGTCTAACAATCGAACACTTACACGCCATTGCGACCTCTGATCCCAATTCGTTGGTTGCTCCACGAGGCACCTGTATCCAGTTATTGTATTCCCCGTAACATCCACTTACTGACTCTCATAGTATCACGGCTATCCTTTAAGGAAAGACTTGAATAGAATAGTTTTAATAGCATTATTGCATTGTGAGCCTAGAAGTAGGAGACTGCCTCGTTGACCGAGTAGTCGCAATTGCTAGGGGTCTCGGGTTCGATTCCCAGATCGGGCAAAGTATTAGTGAGTTTTTTTTTTAATTCTCAGTAAGAGTACGGAGTCTGGAAATTGGTCCGGTATATGACTATAGGCTCTTCCTTTATTACATGGGACTCACTTAAATAGTAAAAAGTGGGTGTTACCTCTGCGTTCCGCTTCTGGAGTAAAAGGCGTGATGGTAAAAGTAGAGACAATCAATTTCTCAGATTTCTTTACTTAAGTTGAATTTTAAACGGATTCTATTTGGGTTTGAAAACTGAAATCTATAGACAGATTTGGCTGAAAAAATCTGACTTAAATTTTACTCAGATTCGCTAAAACAAGAAACCTGATTGAAAATCACTGGTTCACCTCGATGTTGCTCGATTTGAATATCAAAGTCGAGACTACGTCCTCAGCTAACTATGAGCCACACAAACCAACAAACCACTCTCCCATGCCAAGACACCTATGATAGATAGCTCCTTAGCAAAAACCATACTTCATTAAACCAATAAAACAAAATCGTTTTAATTTATGCGCGTACGCAGAAGTAATTACTTCGTGTAGCTTCTGATCTTATTCTGTTTTAATTACCATTTAATGCAAGCGGAGTCGGGTGTGTTAGTTGTAATTACTCGTTCAGTTTGGTGGTTAAACGGCTGTCAGTAATGTTAACTGAGATTTTATTAATGGTTCTTACTTATGTTCCTGTAATATATTAGTTGTATGGTTAGTTGTATAAGTAGGTTAATTTAGTAACATAATATAACATACAGATGGAATGGCGAACATTTTAAGTACATCCCATATTTTGTTAATTTGAACATACATAACATCACGTCTTTTTATTCTGGAAGGGGTTGGCAGAGATGCACATTTCATCACTTAATGTCACTGCGGTTTAA